CTGCTGAGTCCCACATTGATATCTCTACTCCATAATTCCAAGCTTTTGTATTGAACAGTCCACCTAATGCAGATATGTATTCAATATTTCATTTTTAATTCTTGTTCTAGTCAGCTTTCTGTTGCTATGATAGGGCACTCTGACCAAAACCAGCTTGTGGAGGAAAGACTTTATTTGGCTTACAGCTCACAGTCTGTTATTAAGGGAAGCCAAAGTAAGAACCTGGAGGCAGGAACTGAAGCAAAGACCATGGAGGAATGCTGCTTACTAGCTTGCTCCTTTTGGTCTGTGCTCAGTCCGATTTTTTATGAAACCTAGAACCACCTGCTCAGGGATAGCATCACCCACAGAGATCTGGGCCCTCCCACACCAATTAGCAATTAAGAAAATGCCTCACAGACATGACCATGGGCCAATCTGATGGAGGAAATGTCTCAGTTGTGGTTCCCGCTTACCAGATGTATCAAGTTGACAACTGAAGCTATCTGGCACAATACTCTTTGCTCTCTTCTTCCAAATCTACTTCCTTTTCAGTGTTTCTATTGTCCTTGGCAAGTGGCACTTAATCTTCAGTGACTAAGGCCGAAATTCTTAGAGTGACCAATAGGGCCATCTTTTTCTTATCCTACATTCAGTTGATCAGCAAACCATAGGTTACCTTTCAAAATATATCCAGAATTTGTATAGCAACACTTATTTTATTACTTTCTGAATTTGAGTTACTTCTGTCTCTCACCTGGGTTATTACAAACTGGTAAATTATTATTTTCCTACTACCCCATCCTGATCTGAGCACTAGAGCGAGAACATCCACCTAAAAAGCCAGTCAGACAAGAGCACATCTCCAAGGGCCCTACACGTAATCCATCTCCCTATGAGGGAAAGGCCAGTGTCCTTCCTCTGACTTACCACATCTACCATATTTGTTCTGCCTATTGGACCTCTTGGGCCTTCTCTGACACACTTGTGTTTGTATCCATGTTCCTGAAAATGTTATGATTTCATTTTTTGTAATCACTGAAAAAAATTCCTTTGTGTATATGTAGTACAATTTAAAAAATATTTTATCTGCTATTTTTATTTTATGTGCATGTATGCGCCATGTGTGTGCAATGCCCTGCAGAGTCCAGAAAGGTGTTGGATCCCCTGGAACTAAAGTTATGGACAGTTGTTAGCTGCTATGTGGGTGCTAGGAATAGAACCCAGGTCCTATGGAAGAACAGCAAGTTTTCTTAACCTCTAAGCCATCCCTCCAGCCTCCTGTAGCACAATTTTTATCTATGCATCTGTTTATGGACATCTAGGCTGGTTCCATATCATGACTAATATGTATGATACAGGTGATAAGCATATATATACAAGTATCTAAGGTATGCTCACTCATAATTGTTCAGTTATACACCCAGTAGTGGTATAGCTGGATCACATGGTCATTCTATTTCTAGATTTTTCAGTAACATCCATACTGATTTCCATAGTGACTTCACCAGTTTACATTCCCACCAGTAGTATGTAAGTGCTCATCTTTCATCATATCCTTACCAGCATTTGTTGTCCATTGCTTTTTTTGAGGATAGCCACTCTGGGGTTAGTGTCTGGAATCTCCAACCAGTTTTAATTTGCATTTCCCTGATGGCCAAAAATGTTGAACATTTTTAAAAATAATTATTGAATGATTGTATTTCTTCCTTTAATCACTGTCTATTCCATTCATTAGTTTAGTTATTGGCTGGATAGTTTGCTTTTTTATTTAATTCTTGCAGTTCTCTATGGACTCCACATAGTTGTCTATGGACTCCCTGTCAGATGTACAGTTGTCAAGTATTTTTCTGTAATTTATAGGCTGTAGCCTCACTCTGGCTATCATTTTCTTTGCTGCACAAAAACCATTTAATCTCATGTAATCTGCTTTGTCAATTTTTATAGCTATTTCTTGTGCTATTGAAGTCCTTTTCAAAAAGTTCTTGTCTATGCCTATAACTTGAAATGTTTTGTATATGCTTTTCTCCAGCAGTTTGAAACTTTCAGGTCTTACATTAAGGTCTTTAATCCAAGGATTTTTTTTTACAATCTAAGTGCAGTAGCACAATGCCACATTATAGCAAAGTCTGAACAATGACAGTCTGGCTCTTAACAGCCTTTAAAACTAAGAGTGAAACCTAATATGTTCTGAGAACTTGATCCTTTAGATTTATCCTGAAACTCTGCTCCTGAACAAAGAACTTGCTCTCTGTTTATTAAAATAGCGCATCCAGGATGAAATGTGGAAAGAATAAGGAACCTGTCTTATCAGGAAAGAATTTATCCTTTCTGACCCTGACTGACGCAGAACAGCACACATAACCACAAACAGATGTTATCAATTTAATCCTACCTGTTGTTTACAACATAAATAGGGACTAATACATTGCTCCCAAGATCACTGCTTTCAGCACTTGATAGTTTCCCAACAAACACATACACACACACACACACACACACACATTATTCAGGGTCAGGGCAAGAAAAGGTCATGAGGGATTAAAACATATGTTTAACTTACAAAAGGAGCTCAAACCCTAGTAAGCTTGTTTATCTTTGTAAATAAGCTGTATTAGTGTTCCAGAAAAGTCATTCCTACAGGTAAGAGATATGGATCTGCTTTCCAAATAAATGCTTTTGAATTAATGAAGGTTATTAAATATGTACTATATGGTATACATATGCAGCATAAATTCTATTCAGGGGGCTGAGGAGATGGTTCAATAGGTAAAAGTTCTTGCCATGTAAGCATGAGGACCAGAACAGGACTCCAAATACCCACTCAAACACTGGGTGGGTATGACAGCTGGTTGTAATCTTCAGAAAGTGAAGTGAGGTAATCCCTGGAGCAAGCTGTTAGCTAGACTGGCCAAATTGGTGAGCACTGGGTTCAAGTGAGATACTCTGCCAGATGCAGTGATGCACACCTTTAATCCCAGCACTTGGGACACAGAGGCAGGCAGATTCCTATAAGATTGAGGTCAGCTTTGTCTACATAGGAAGTTTCAGGCCAGCTGGGACTACAGGGAGATCCTGTCTCAAAAAAAAAAAAAAAAAAAAAAATGTGAAAGGCTCTGCCTCAATATACAAAGTGTAAAGAAAAGAAGATACCCAGTATCATTCCCTGGCCTCCACAGGCATGAGCACACACATGCACATGTACACACACCCATGCATCCAAACGCATATGAACACACACATGCACACACACTACATATACCTATACACAAAGAATAAAATAACTTCAAAAAGTAATTATGTATCCAGTAAGTCATATGAAATTAAAGAATTTTCTTTTTTTTTCCATTTTATATCTACAACTATGATCACAGATTGCAAACTGGGAATAGGGTATATGCCTGTCATCCCAGCTCTCAGCAAGATGAAGTAGAAGGATCACTTGTTCAAAGCCGGCTTGGACTATATAATGAGACTCTGTCTCAAAGGTTAAAAAAAAAAAAGGAGGTAGGCCTGTGGTACAGATCTGTAATCCCAGCTGCCTGGGAAACTGAGACAGAGAGATTAAAAGTTTAAGACCTGCTTGTGCTGGAGTGAATTCAAGGCCAACATGGGCAACTTGGTGAGACCATGTCTCAAAATAAAAAGTGAAATGAAAGCTGTGGATCTAGCCCAGTGATAGAAAGCTTAATTAAGGCTATGGCTAAAACGTTTTTAAAAAGCAAATTATAAACAGGCCACAGAAGGAACAGTCTAAGTTTGGAGAATGTAGCTCAGTGATAGAGCATTTACCTCACATTCAAGAAATCCTAGGTTTGATTCCCAATTATCACCACCCCCCAAAATAGCCTAGAGATAACTTTCGTTGTTATTGTTTTGAGACAAAGCCTCGTATCCCCCAGGCTGTCCTCAAATTCACTATGTAGCTGAAGATGACCTTGAATTCCTAATTATAAGCATGAACCACGACACCCAGCTTAGAGATAACTTTTTTGATGTATTCTCCTTCTTCTTGCCTATTGAAAGTTAACTGAGTTTTGTGTTGCAAATAAAAATGAATATCATAATGTCTATATTTCAATGAGTTTTGGCATAATTAATATGCATACATATTAAAATAATTGGATATGAAATTAAGTGCATGTTTAAAACACTTAAAGAAAGCAATGACCAGAATAATCTACATACTCCCAAGAATAATGATATTGGGGCTAGAGTGATGGTTTAGTGGTTAAGAGCACCTGCTGCTCTTGTAGAGGACCCAGTTTTGCTTCCCAGCATCCACGTGGTGACATCCCTAACTCCAGCTCCAGGGCATCTGACACCCTCTTCTGGCCTCTGCAGGCATCACCTGTATGTGGTTCAGTTACACACATGTAGGCCAAACTCTCATACACATAAATTAACATAAATAATATTTTTGAGACAGGGTCTCCCTGCAGCCCCAGCTGACCTGGAACTCACTATGTAGACCAGGTTGGCCTCGAACTCACAGACATCTGCCCACCTCTGCCTCCGAGTACTGGGATTAAAGGTGCGTGCCACCATGCCTGGCTTCATAAATAATTTTTTAATTTAAGAAAAGAATAATGGGAGCTGGAGAGATGCCTCAGTGGTGAAGAGCACCGACTGCTCTTGCAGAAGACCTGGGTTCAATTCCCAGCACCTACATGGTGGCTACGAATAGTCCTTAACACCAGTTCCAGGGGAATTTGAAGCCATCTTCTGACCTCCGTGGCATTGCACTACACGGGTGCACTCACATACATGCAGGCAATACACACTCATACACATAAAATAAAAAAATAAATAAAATATAAAAAAGAAAAGAATAATGATGGGGCCTGAAACTATCTAGGTCTGATCCATGGGAGAGCAGAAGCTACTTGTTCTTTTCCTCCTCAGGTCTTCTGTGCAGGGGTCAGACCAGACTAAGGGCCTGGGGAGGCCCCCTGCCTAGCCGCCTTGCCTGAACTGGCATGGGGGCCAGGCGGGGCAGTAGTCGCCCTCTCATCCCAGCCATGGATCTTCTAACTCCCAAGCTGAAGTACAACCCACTTCGAAATGAGTCTCAGTCATCACTGGAGGAAGGGGCTTCAGGGTCCACTCCCCCGGAAGAGCTGCCTCCCATCAGCCTTATCCTTGGGACCCATTCTGCCAACTCTGCCTGAGGACGATAGTCCCACTACCCTGTGCTCCTTCTTCCCTCGGATGGGCAACCTCAAGCTGGCCAATCCTGCTGAGGGGCGCCTGGGGCCTAAGGAGTCGGGGCAGGAAAAGCCACTGAAAATGGGGAAGGGGTTGCTGGGGCAGCTGGACGGGACTCAGGCCTCTTGCCCCTCCTCCACAAGCTGGGTGGAGGCGGTGAGTGCAGGACTCGGGTAGAAGGGGGCCAGCTGGGGGGCGAGGTGTGGACCAGACACCAGGGCTTTATCAATAAGCCCACACAGGCCTGGCTGCATCTCAACGACAAAATCATGGGACCTGGGTTTCCTATTTGGTTCGGTACATGGGTTGTGTGGAGGTTCTGCAGTCAATGCGAGCCCTTGACTTCAATACCCGGACTCAGATCACCAGGGAGGCCATCAGTTTGGTGTTTGAGGCTGTGCTGGGTGCTAAGGGGGCGACAAGGAGAAGAAAGCCCTGTAACCACCCACTTAGCTCTATCTTCGGGAGGAGTAACCTGAAGTTCTCTGGAATGCCAGTCACTTTCACTGTGTCCACCAGCAGCCTTAACCTCAAGGCCGCAGACTGCAAACAGATCATTGCCAACCATCACATGCAATCCGGATACAGCCGAGTATGTCACCTATGTTGCCAAAGACCCTGTGAATCAGAGAGCCTGCCACATCCTGAAGTGTCCTGAAGGGCTTGCCCAGGACGTCATCAGCACCATTGGTCAGGCCTTTGAGTTGTAGCTTCAAACAATATGTCAGGAACCCTCCCAAGCTGGTCACCCCGCATGACAGGATAGCTGGCTTTGATGACTCAGCTTGGGATGAGGAAGAGGACAACCACCTGACCATAAGTACTATAATGACTTCCCGAGAAAAGAACCCCCTCTCAGTAGTGCGGTAGACATGAGGCTTCGGCAAGGGGCTGCTTCAGGAGCTGTTCGACCCACTTTGCCCAGTGCCCAAATGCCCAGGCATCTGGGAGCTACATTGCCTGTAGGGCAACCAACTGTAGGAGACTCCGAAGTCCAAAGACAGATTCTTCCTCCACCACCCTGCACAGAACCCTTTGAAGATGCCCTTCGAGTGCCTCCACCTTCCCAGTCTATGTTCTCCACTGAGCAACTTCAAGGGGAGACCTGGTTCCATTGGAAGCCGAGCCGGCTGGAGGCAGAGGCACTGCTGCAGCTCAATGGGTCTTCTTAGTGTGAGAGAGCAGCACCACACCTGGCCAGTATGTACTCACTGGCCTGCAAAGTGGGCAGCCCAAGCACCTGCTTCTGCTGGACCCTGAAGGTGTAGTTAGAACAAAGGATCAACACTTTGAGAGTGTCAGTCACCTCATCAGCTACCACATGGACAGTCACTTGCCCATCACCTCTGCAGGCAGCAAACTGTGTCTACAGCAACCTGTGGAGCAGAAACTGATTGGTCTAGGCTTCTCTCCTGGAAGATACCACCAGCCTCTTCTACCCTGTTGTTTAACCCGCAGGACCTCTGTTCTGTGGGTTTGGCCTTGGGTGGGAGCTGGGAGTAGAGTGGACACTGGGTTTAATGCCCACCTGAGAGAGAGGGTTTGAGTCAGGAGCTTCTCCCCAAACCTCATCAAAGTATTAATATACAGAGTGGCCCCCTTGCCTGGGCCTTTCCTGTGTCAACCTGATTCCCCTTCCCCAAGAAGATGGGTGCTTTAATGAAAAATGTCCTGTCGTGATAGACCCAGTGGAACAACCACCCTTCTGGGGAAAGGGAAACAAATCATACCTCTGGCCTACCCCTGGACTTCAGGGTACCCCAGATCACTCTTAATATATGCCACTCCCTATATCCCCCATTGAAACTTCATGCTTTTGACTATCTCCTGGGTGTACAGATACTTTGCAATTCTCAGGCCCCTGAATTGGAGACAGGGGTGCTGACACCTTGGCTTCTGTGACCCTGTCCTCTTGCTCAGCACCCCTTCCAGTTTTGGCGGGGAGAATAAGGCTAGGAGTGGCAGCTGTGTCCCCTGCCTTCCCGATACACTGCCTTTAAGAGGTTGCCCAGAGCCCCACTTCCTGGCCAAGGGGGATTCGGACCCTTCTCTTGCTCAGTGCCTCCTGGCCCTTTCTTCCAAGGAGCCTGTATAGGTTTCTTAGGCCTGCCCCTCCTGTGTTGCATGTGTGGTCTATTCTACAGCCAAAGTGTAGCACTTCTTTTCGCCAGCTCCACACAGTCTCCCCCTTCTGGGCTGGGGGTGTGTGACTGAGCTTGGGCCTCCTTATATGTACAGATAACCTCCAGGTGTGGTTTTGTGGAGGCACTGCGACTGAAGCAGGAGACTATCCCAGATACCATCTGTAGATTCAGAATTGCACTCATTTTCATTTTACATGCATACATTTTTAGGACTGTAGATTTATTTCTAAGTTTTGTTTCCCATGGCTTACTTTTGAGCACAAAATTATAACTGATAACATTTATACATCACCTTTTTGACTTTTCCAAGCCCTTTTACAACTGTTGGTGTTTGCCTCCCTCTGGCCTGAAGGTAACCAGGACTGGCAGGAATTTTTTTTTTAAAGAGAGACCAGAGACTAGAAAACCTGAGTCTCTTAGGACAAGGCAGTGAGGCAGAAGGTTGGGTGTACATTGTTGTGGGGTTGTGATGTGGCAGTTTGCTGCTGATATTGAGTTCCTTCTGCCTGTGGGCTGATATGACTGAAACTTGCTGTGCTCTCTTTAGGCCTCATGAATAAGGGGGAGCCGAATGTTTTCAGTCTTGGCCTTTGCCTTTTTTTGGTTTGGGTCTTTCCAGGAGTCTCTCACACCAAAGGGGAATAATGCAGTATTACATTAAATCTAAACTCCTATCAATTGTGCTTTCTTTTTTTGGTCTTTTTGAGAGAAAGTCTCCCTGTAGCCCCAGCTGGTCTGGAACTCACTATGTAGACCAGGCTAGGCTTGAACTCGCAGAGATCCTCCTGCCTGCCTCTGCTTCCTGGGTGCTGGGACTAAAGGCCAAGTTTTTCAGTATGTTCTCACAACAAAAGAAAACTCCACTGTGCTGTCTGAGGGCTTTTTAAATATTCTTATTAATTCTCTGAGAATGTCAGTGTGTTTTGGTCATATTTCTCCCTCCCCCATCGCCTTCCAGGTCCCTCACCTTCATGTCTACCCAGCTTCCTGGGTCTTTTTCTCTCATCAGGTCCAATTTGTGTTGCCCAAATACTCTTAGATGTGGAACTTGCCCTGGATTGTGGTCAACCACTTAGGTGCCACACCCTTAAAAAAAACAGGCGGATTGTTGTGAGTTCAAGGCCAGCCTGGTCTACATAGTGAGTTCAGGTCAGCTGGGACTGAGACTACAAGGAAACCCTGCCTCAAAAACAAAACAAAACAAAAAAAAAAAACAGATTCTTCCTCTCTAAGTACTTATCAGACATCAAACTTCCTGTCCACTTACCCACATTCTGAAGTCTTTTCTAATATTACCAGAAAGTATCACTAAAATGTTTCCAACTCATATTTGAGACTTAGGATTTACCTCAAGTGTTCTTAAAATTCTTTGTTAGTTGAAAACACTAGAGAATTGTGTTTCCCCAGTCATATCCACAATAATAAAAATGTAGAACTCTTTCAACCAAAAAATGATAACTTGTCATGTCTACTCCCTACTTGACAGCTAATGTATTAAACTCCATTATAAGAGAGTTAACATATTATGTCCTAGACACATCCCAACTTCAGAATGCTAAACATGGATCATGACACTGATAATAAACAGTAACAAGTTTTACTTTACTTTTTTTAGGCATCTATAAGAAGCCAGTGTGGTTTTCATATTTTGTGGGTTTTTTAATTTATTTATTTTTTCTTATGTGGGGCACCAAAACATTCCCTACTATGTTCTATGTCTGTGACATAGAATCTATCGTCTATACTTCACTAGCATGGAAAGATTTGTCTTTAGGAAATAAACCTTTAAACAATGTCAAGTCTTCTATGAGAGGTTAAGAGAGGAAAACTGGAGTCAATAGAAACAGGAGCCCTGCTTGGACTGGACCCTGTACAGAGAAAATACCTCAGGTTCAGTTAAAAGAGATGTCATGGGTCAATTTAGTTTTGCCTGGCCACTTACAAATACAAGATTTTGTGGATCTTATTTTAAGAAATTCTGTTAAGCTAAGTTTTATGAGTCAATGACTCAGAAATACTTAGAGATTCACAGTTTAATGTTTGTATTTAAAAAGAAAGAAGTTCACATTAAATATCATTATTCAACATTTATTGGGTTCCTAAGGACTTCTAACAGGTTATGAAATACATTATTAAAGGTAATCTTATAATCCTCAGGGGAGAATATTGGCTTTTTCAAATTTAACATGAAAAGAAGGGACTTCTTATAAGCCAATTCAGTGTCAGAAAACCTATTAAAATAACTGGATATGATGCTCAGATTTCTTTGACTCTTTTGGTACAAGAATTAGAAGCCTAACTATAAAAGGAAATGTTTAAGACCTTGGTTTGCTTAAATTTACTCTTAAATTTTAGAGTAGCAGTTTTTCTGTGAGAAGGGGAGCATTGTGACTTGTTCTCATACACTACAGTAAAATTAAAATAATAAAGCAAAAAATTATAGTTGAATCAATTCATCTAATAGAAAATTCGTGAACTGGATGTGGTGGCGCATGCCTGTAATCTCAGTACTTGGGAGGTTGAGGCAAGAGGATCACTGTAAGTTTGAGATCAGCCAGGGCTACACAATAAGAGTTCCCAGACAAGCCTGGGCTATATGAGACCCTGTCTCAATAGTGCTTCTTATTTATTCCAGAGGAAGAGATGCAACTAAAGGTGCTCAGGTGCCAGCACTATATGAGGCACTGGAAGGGATCATCATACTTAATTCACTCAGCATGTTTACAAGATGATTGCTGTTGTTTGAATCTGAAACGTCTCCCAATGATTGTTATGAATGGCTGTGTAGCCAGATGATGTTCTTTGGGGGTAGTAATTAATGCCTAGGATCTCTGATATAATCAATCCTGGCATGGTTCCATAAGATAATGGTATTCTTAGCAGGTGGTAGAAACCAGGAGGTGGGGCTTAGTTGGAAGAAGGCAGGTCATTGGAACGCTGCCCCTGAAGAGTGTGTCTTGGCCCTGGCCCCTTCCTGTCCTTCTCTCTGGGTCTTGTTTGCTATGAAGTAAGCAGTTCTGCTCCACCTGCTCTTCCATCATGGGACCAAAACCAAGAGAGCTAGCTATCACAATGAAACCTCTGATACCATAAGCTAAAATGAATTCTTCCTCCTTTCACTTTTTCAAAAATTTATGCGTGTGTGTGTGTGTGTGTGTGTGTGTGTGTATGTGTGTGTAATTGTGTGTAATTGTGTGGGGGTTTTCTAGGAAGCCAGAAAGCAACAGCTGGAGTTCTTAGCTGTTGTAAGCTGCTGGATGTGGGTGCTGGGAACTGAACTCCAGTCCTCTGGAAGAGTAGCAAGTGTTCGTAATCACTGAGCCATCTCCCCAGTCCCCTTCTTCCTTTTAGATGCCCTCTGTCTCTCTCTGTCTCTGTCTCTCTCTGTCTCTCTGTCTCTCTGTCTCTCTCTCTGTCTCTCTCTCTCTCTCTCTGATAATTGGTGCACTGACACACAGTCTGACTATCAGTATTTTAGGAGATCATAGTTTAGGACATAACAGCACTCCTGGGCAATTGGCAATAGGGCCGGGGGTGAGCCTGGTCTGCTTAACCAGCTCAGTTCATGCTCGTCACCTTCACAGATGCCAACAGAGTCTGTCTTCATACAATCCTAGATTCTGGGCAGGGCCTAGGCTGGGAGTTAGACTTCCCTAGAACGCTGAATGCCCTCGGTTCAGTCTACAGCACCAGTAAAAACAATTCTGGATTTTTGTGGAAGAGAACTGCAAGGGAAATGAAGCCATATTGTGGAGGCAAAGATTCCATTGTATTTGCCCAGTGATAAATTCAACATTCTACATAATGAGAAGAATTTCTAGTTTGCTGTCTGCTATGGGATACTTAACTGCTACTAATTAGATCCTCTCCTAGGGCCCAATTGGGACTTTTCAGCACACGTTGCCTTCCTTCACACTGACCCCTCTGCCTTCCCAAACGCTAGTGAATTTGGCATAGAATCACCCTCACAGAAGACACAGGGCTCCTGCCTCTGTCTATAGCCTTGAGACCTAGAGCTTTACGTCTAGTTTTAATCATGGAAAGATTAAGCGATGTCGGGCAGCTCCACCCTTAGTTTCAAAAAGTCCTGCAAATCCTACCAGAATTCAGACTACTTTAACTACAAAACCTTCTGTGAGAGCATGTGGCAGACACATCCCTCAGCAGAATGAGCCCCATTTCCAGATGGAACTTTTTTTCCCTCTTTTCTCATCTAAGTGCTTCTCATTCTTTATACTGAGACAGCACAGGAAATCTTTTCAGTTCCCTCCCCTCTCTTTACTCTATTTTTAGCTTCAAATGTTGCCAGGTGTCAGGCACAAAATTAAAGAGGGACTGTTCGAGTCCTTGTCAGTCTCCAAGCTGTCATTGTTACTTTGGGTACAGCTAATATTCTACATTA